CGCCCCCCCCCCAATTTTGATTATAAGTTTCTGCAGATCTTCTATGCCAGCCTCAGTTTGGCTTGTTCATATCGGGATTCCATAGAATCAATCCAATTTTGATACTGAATTGTTGCCATTCAGAATAATGAAAGGTGTTCAAGTAACACAGCACAATAATTTGAATATTCAGTTCATTGACCATGATCATACATCCATTTCTTTGCCAAGAAAAAAACAAAAAGCAGGTCAGTTGTATCTTTAGTTCTGTACCGTACAGAAATCAATAGGAAATCGCCTTACTCTTGTGCCCTATTTTATACAGTTCTTGCTCTGCACAACGCATCGTTTCTCGGTCTCAAAACCAAGTTTATCTAGGTCAGTTGCAATTCCCATAGGGCCATATAGAACATTTTCTATGGTGCTTGTTGTCTCTCCCTGAGTTTTCATATTCCTGCAATTGTAGCCATGAATACCAATTTGCTGGAACGCAGTCCTAACATTTTTGCTGTCAGCATAAAGCTTGTGAAGCCTTTTGTGGTGATTACGTGCTGGATACCTTTTTTTTGGGGTGCTGAAACAAGGTTTAAATACGAGTGATTGAAATTGAATTATCCAATAGAGTAACCTTTTCTCTCTCTTTCCTTTTGATTTAAGGTGTAGATGCATTCTAATTCAAGCCTTACCAATTAATCAACTAACTGTCACTAGAAAAAGACATCGTTTTGTTATGTATGGATACAACCTAGCTATCATGGTGCATGGTAAATGTCAAGAGTAGTTGCTAAACGTTAAATACAATGAAAAGAGTGGCTATTATAATCGACTAAAATGAGAAGGATTATCTCTCATATTAGCTATAAATAGAGGGTTTTAATGAGAGTTAAAAAACACATGAAATAGAGAAAGAGAGCTAGAGAGAGTTGAGTTGAGTAGAGAAAAATTTTCTCCTTCTTGTTTTGTTTTTTGTGTTGTTTCTAAACTTGATAAGTACAAACCAGTAGCTTTGTGGAGTAAACAAGTTGTCAAACCACGTAGATTTGTAAGTGTTTGATTTTTCGAATCTCCTAACAACTAGTATTAGAGCGTGTTCTTGAAAAATGAGGGTGTTTAATCCAAACTCAAAAATCAAAGTTTTCAAAATGTGTTTTTGAACATACCATTGTATAGGGGAAGACGATAAAAATCAACTGTTGAAACTCCAGCAAAGAACCGATGTGTTGCAATCCTGTACCCGTTGATGTTAGGACTGCTTAGGCGTATAGATGCGTCACATACGCACTACACTCCTTCACTCGACTACCCGTGACTGAATCGGGCTAACTCGTCATGTCATCAACAAGTCAACAGCCAAATCAGCAATTCCGCATAGGTATCCGTTGTGTCACGTGTATAATCAGCAATCCATGTCAACAGCAGACACGACAACGCAATTCCATGTGGCCTTGCGACGTCATCTCATGTGGACCTATAGTGCTTATATATAGGACACGTCATCAAAGCCACATCATCATTTTGGCATTGATTTGGTGCAACGACGATCTTGTTTCATTCGACACACGTCTTCATTTGCCCTGTCCATTGGTCTAAAAGTTTGATTGATTAGATCTGAGCCCTTCAAAGTCTGATTTAGATGATTTTAGAGGCGTTTTCAATGTTTTTGGCCATTCCAGACACAACCATTAAGTCTGATTTAGCAAATTCATATTCTAAAATTATAAAAAATGACTGCTGAAATAAAAGCTGTTGGAATTGAAAAATTTAATGGGATAGATTTTGGATATTGGAAAACATAAATTGAAGACTATGTATATAAGAAGAAACTTTATCTTTCTCTGCTGGGGAGCAAACAAAAGAATATACAAGAAGAAGAATGACTAATTCTTGATAGACATGTTTTGGGTATTATCCGACTATCCTTATCAAGAAGAGTTGCTCACAATATTACAAAAAAAAAATCTACTACAAGATTAATGGAAGCCTTGTCTGGGATGTATGAAAAGCCCTAGAGAAATAATAAAGTGCACTTAATGAAAAAATTGTTCAACTTAAAGATGATAAAAAACACCTTTGTCACACATTTTAACAACTTTAATACCATTACAAATTAATTGTTATCTATTGAGATTAAATTTGATAATGAGATTCATGCACTGATTTTGCTAGCTTTATTTATAAGCAGTTGAGAAGTTATAAGAATAGTTGTGAGTAACTCAGCTAGAAAATCCAAACTAAAATATGATAACTTCTTACATTTGATTTTGGCTGAAGAAGTATGTAGAAAGGACTATGGTGAAAATTCAGGTTCAGCTCTCAACATCAACATTCGAGGAAGGAGACAAAATAAATGCTTTTCTAGAGGTAAATCAAAATCAAGATGCAGAAGTAAGAGCAAGTTCGGACCTAGAAAACAGGTTGAATGTTAGAATTATGACAAACTTGGTCATTACATGAGGAGTTGCTCAAAACAGAAAAAACTTAAGGCTGACTTTGTGAATGCTACCACTAATGAGGTACAAGATACTTTGATTCTTGTTGTACAAAGTTCAATTGATATTGAATTCTTGATTCTGGTGCTTCATTTCACTGTATACCATACCATAAAATGATACAAAACTATATTACTGGAGATCATGATGTGGTTTATTTACCCAATGGACAACCAATGAATATTGTAGGTATATGAGATGTGCAAATCAAGAAAATGAATGGATCTATATCGAACTTACAAAATGTATGGCATGTTCCTAGGTTAAAGAAAAAACTGATCTCCATTGTATAACTTGATAATGGTGGTATTCATTTTTTCTGGAGGTATATGGAAAATATCGAAGGGAGCAATGATTTTGGCTCGTGGGAAGAAAATTGGCACCTTGTATATAACCACAAGATTTATAGAAATTATTGCTTTTAGTAAAACAGAAAATCAGGCACAGCTATGACACTATTGACTCGACCATGTGAGTCAAAGGAGGATGAAGATACTTTAATCAAAGAGGAAAGTTGCCAGAGTTAAAAAAAATATTGATTTAGACATTTATGAAAGTTGTATTCTTAAAAAAACAAAAGAAACTCAGTTTCTTAAAAGTTCGCAAGACCTTAAGACCAAGAAAGCTAGAACTAGTATACATAAATTTATGAGGACCTTCTCTGGTGGCATCTCTTGGAGGTTCTTGGTATTATGTGACTTTTATTGATGATTTTAATAGGAAGGTATTTGTCTATTTTATGAAAAATAAATTTGATATGTTTGAAACATTCAAGAAATGAAATGCTATGGTTGAGACTGAATTAGGTTTGAATTTGAAACGCTTGAGATTTGATAATGGAAGAGAATACAGTGATGGAGGTTTCAGAAAGTATTGTGCTTTTAATGGTATCAGAATGGAAAAAACCATTCCAAGCACACTTGACATTAATGACTGGATGAACATAACCATCAATGAACAAGCTAGAAGCATGAGGTTGCATTCAGGGTTATCTCAAACATTTTGGGTTGACACAGTTCATATTGCAGGTTACTTAATCAACTATGAACCATCAGTTCCTTTGGAATTCAGATTGCTCGAGAAAGTATAGAGAGGAAAAGAGGTACAACTCTCTCATATAAAGATCTTTGGGTGTGTTTTCTATGTTCATATAAATTCTGATATTCGCAACAAGCTATATGCCAAATCCAATAAATGTTTCTTCATCGGTTATGGAGATGAAAAATTTAGGTTTCGGTTCTGTGATGATCAGAATAAAAAGATTATCAGAAGTAAGAATGTGATCTTTAATAAAAAAGTTTTGTACAAAGACAAACTTATTGTAGTAACAGATATGACTGATTCAGAGACAAGTCCATAAAAATTTAAGTTTATAAGATTAGAAGGGTTTCCTGATGTTAACGAGCAAAACAAAAATAAAAAGTTTTTACAAGAAGATTCAATAATATTTATACCCACTACTACATAGAAAGATACAAAGCCTCGTGAACCTATTATTTATGTTCACAGGTTTTCAAGGACTGTAAAACCCCCATAACGGTCACATTTTTCTTGAATTATATTTTGCTGACAAATGATGGTCAAACCACAAACTTATAAGGAATTATTACAAGATGAAAACTCAAATAAGTGGGAGTTAGCCATGAATGATGAGATGAATTCTTTGTTAAAGAACAAACCTTAAGAGCTAACCACACTATCTGAAGGAAAGAAGGCTTTGCAAAACAAGTGGGTTTAAAGAGTGCAGATTGAGCATGACGAAAGCAAACGGTTCAATGCAAAACTTGTTGTAAAAAGGTTTCAACAAAAAAAATAGATTGATTACTCTGAGATTTTTCTCTAGTTGTGAAGCTCATAACAATCAAAGTTGTTCTGAGGATAGTAGCTGTAGAAAATTTACATCTTGAACAACTAGATGTAAAAACAATATTTTTTCATAATGACTTAGAGGAAGACATTTACATGCAACAATCAAAGGGGTTTGTAGTACAAAGAAAAGAGAACCAAGTCTGTAAGTTAAAGAAAAGCCTATGCGATTTGAAGCAAGCTCCAAGACAATGGTACAAGAAGTTTGACAACTTCATATGTAGTTCGGGATACACAAGATGCTAAGTTGATCATTGTTGCTTTGTCAAATATTTTGACAACTCCTACATCATTTTACTATTATATATGGATGATATGTTGATTGCAAGATTCAACATTAATGAGATTGACAAGTTGAGATAATATTGTCAAAATAGTTTGAAATGAAGGATCTAGGAGTTGTTAAACTAATACTTGGCATGAGAATCATTAGAGATAAAGACAAAAGCTTACAAAAGCTTTCACAAACAAAGTATGTCAAGAAGGTTCTTAGCAGGTTTAATATGGATAATGCTAAATCAGTAAGTATACCTCTAGGGAATTATTTCAAGCTCAATAAAGACTAGTCACTAAAAACTAAATTAGAATATGGATACATGAATAAGATTTCATACGCCTCAGCTATCAACCTTTTGATGTATGTTATGGTTTGTACCAAACCGGACATTGCCCATGCATTGGGAGTTGTAAGCTGATATATGAGTAATTCTGGAAAGCAGTATTGGGAGGCGGTGAAATGGATTATGAGGTGTTAAGAGGTTCCTCGGAGACTTGTCTTAGTTCCACAACTAGTGTTTTAAAACTTGAAAGTTTTGTAGACCTTGATCTAGTAGGAGATGTTGATAGTAAAAAGAGTACCACTGGATATGTATATACTCTAGGAGGTATTGCTATTTCCTGAAGTTTTATCTTGTAAAAGATCATTGTTCTTTCAACAACATAAGCTAAATATGTTGCAGTTTTAGAATATGTAAAAAAAATAGTATTGCTACAGAGTTTTCTAAAAGAATTAGGCAAGATGAATGAAAATGGTACTTTGTATAGTGACAGTTAGAGTGTAATCTTTCTTGCCAAGAATCTAACATTTCACTCCAGGACTAAGCATATTCAGATCAAGTATCACTTCATTCGATAATTGCTTGACAATGAGCAACTAATGCTAGAAAAAGGTTTGTGAAAACAAGAATCTAGCTGACATGTTAGCTAAAGGAGTTACTCTTGATAAACTAAAGCTGTGTAAAGCTTCAGTTGGTATTTAAGACTAAAAGATGGCTATAATGCCTTTTGTGAAACATGATTAAATATGGCTATAATGCCTCTATTTAAAATGGCTATTGGCTGCCATGTCAAACATGATTACATGGTGAACGTCAAAAGTGGTTGCTGAACATTAAATATGGTGATAAGAGTGGCTACTATAGTTAACTAAAATGGGAAGGATTGTTTCCTATATCAGTTATAAATAGAGGGTGCTAATGAGAGTTGAAAAACACATAAAATAGAAAGAAACATAGAAAGAGCTAGAAAGAGTTGAGTTGAGTAAAGAAGAAACTCTTTTTCTTATTTTGTTGTTTATATTATTTTTAAACTTAATTAATACAAATTAGTAATTTCATGTAGCAAACAACTCGAGATAGCTGGCCTGCATCTAGCAAATTCCCTCAAAAAAGAACAAAGGGAAGGGAACTTAAACCTGCCAAGTGTTAATCAGGCACACCTGCATGCTGGCTTGAACTGGCCTCGTCCCTGCTCACGCCACAGAGCCGGCCAAAATACAAAAGCTAGAGTTCTACTTCGAGAAATTTTGGGACACTGCCATCTTCAGAACCTCTTGAGTTCTTGAAGATACAAGAGAATGTTGGCAGTTGGCTGTTAAATTTGTTGAACATAAAATCAATGTGGGCCTATGCAGCACCACAATTGAGAAAACAGAATAAAAAAGGGGGCTAGCAAAATTTGCTTCGATTGAATCAACAACCGTGAACATTTTCAGCTGGAAAGTCATGGCCATCAAAAGTGGATACTTTCTCATGTATTGAATTATCCCGAGTCCCTACATTTAAATTAAAGGTAAGGAAAGAAAAAGGGAAAACCTCAAAAACGGCCCCGGTAGTCTCAATTTTGTAGGGATGTTATCAATTGCGGGTTTCCATCCATATATGATCATGGATTTCATGCTTATCTTTTATATATACAACATTGTTTTGTAGGGATCTTAACATTTTATGTTAAAGAATTCTAATAGAAGCCCCCAGTTGAGTAATCAAAATTGATTAGGAACAAAATTGACAAAAAAATAAAATTACATGAGGATAAAATGATATTAACTTGAAAGCTGGGGGTATTTCAAGGCTTGCCTTAGAAAACTTACATCCTTAATCACAGCCAAAATGATTTGAATTTCTTTCATATCTTGAAATTGCAAACCAAATGTCAAAGTCCCTTAAGGAGTGTTGATCAAAATCTGTAGCAATACAAGACATCGAAAACCAAAAAGATTAGAAGTGTTAAAGTGAAGATTCTCAGTTACAATTTAAAAATGGGAGGGTAATGATATGTAATAAAGGCAAGCTAGCTCTGCAATCTCTCCTACTCTGTCTTGTCCGTTAAGGCTCCCGAGAAAATGAACACTGTAGGTGAGCCCTTACTGTCCACTCCACTGGCAAAACTTCCACCTAAAGCACCCTTCTTCTTGGAAAAAAGAATATTTACCTCTACTTAAAGACCCTTCAACCAAATCTAACGCATTTGCATCATATCTACCTAATTATAAGTATCATGCATAAGAATTTGAAAAAGAATCGATTGCCTATGATAGTTCTCTATTTCTTCAAATATACACTTGATAATGATGTATGATGCTACAAATTAATCCACTATCATTTGGCATTGCCCTTTAAGGCATGGTAAGTATTGTATTGATTACACTAAAAATACCTCTACTTAAGTATATCTGTCTTGTCAGTGTATGCAAGGATACTAAATCAACGAGACTTGGTATATATTTAGCTAAAATAAATTTGTCGAGATACCAACTTAAGAAAATATCCATCTACCAGAGGAGGCCTATCTAGTCATCTATCAAATACACACGCTCAAAAAGAGATTTCGATACCATAATAAATGGTCATGTTCATTTTGAGTAAAGGTGAAAAAGAAGGTTATGGGGGTTTTTCAAAGTTAAGTCTTCATTCAACAAAGATGAAATCCTCTTTTTGCCTTAATGATTAAAGGAGATTAGGCAGATTGGTCATTCAGCTCAATTTAGTATTTGTTTTTGTTGTGAAGTAAGCAAGATGGTTTCACAGCTTTAAAGCCAGCTTTTGTTTCTAACCACCTACAATAAGAGAAAGAAAGCAATCATACCACAGAGAAAGAAGAGCAAAGAAACGAGAGAGACACAAGGTAAGGAAGTAGCAGCAGCGGCAGTATTACAAGAAATAAGAGAAACAAAGAGGGTAAAAAATGACGACACAAAAACCAATATTGGAGCAACAGCAATCACAAATGCAGATCAGAATGATCAAGAACTCAGGTATTATCAGTAATATCAGTGAAAGCCCACTGTCAAGGGATGATAAGGATGATGAGATGTCAAGATCAGCAGTGGCTATGTTTAGGGCGAAAGAAGAAGAGATTGAGAAGAAGAAGATGGAAGTCAGAGACAAGGTTCATGCTCACCTAGGACGTGCGGAAGAAGCAACTAAACGATTAGCAGAAATTCGTGAAGTAAGTTTACCACGATAATTACATATTATTTACTTGTTGTTATTATTATTATTATTATTATTATTATTATTATTTCTTACACATATTTTACTTGCCATCAATTCTCCCTTCGTTTAATAAATATCTGCATTGCTGTGGGGAGATCACAGCAAGGAAATTTTAATTTAATGTCTTTTTTCTTTTTGGAGATTATTGTGATTTTTAAAGGGAAAAAAATATATTTTATAGGAGCTTGAAGCCCTGACAGATCCAATGAGGAAGGAAGTTTCGATGGTACGGAAGAGGATTGACACAGTCATCAGGGAGCTGAAGCCTCTAGGACTGAGTTGCCAGAAGAAGGTATGAGATTAAGATTTTGGCTTGTCTCTTTTGCAACGATAAAGACAATATACAAATCAGACAGTTCAATGCTTTTACTAAATTATCAAATAAAAACTCAATTATGTAGAATTTGGAGAATAGTTTAATGGATTTTCAACTGCATGATCACTACGGCAGGACTCTAGTTTGATCCTGTTGCCACCTTAAGAACAAGAAAAACTTCATGGAATATTTTAATGCTTCGATCTTAGTTAACTTTGATGACAAATTTATACACTCGTTAATTATGCATGAAGCAAAGGATATGAGTGGCCTCTCATAATATTTATATGATTCCAGGAAAGAGAATACAAAGAAGCCCTGGAAGCCTTTAATGAAAAGAATAAAGAAAAAGCTCAGCTGGTTTCCAAATTAGTGGAGGTAATTAATAATTATTATATTAGTTCTTATAAACTTTATTAATTGATGCTTGATTAGTACTTAATCTCAATTTTAATTACTAACATATTTCTTTCTCTTCTTTTCTTTTTATCAACTGGTTGGTTAGCTGGCGAGTGAAAGTGAGAAACTGAGGATGAAGAAACTGGAGGAACTGAGCAAAAACGTTGAAACTTTAAGCTGAAGTTTTGCAAATAGCGATAGCCAGCCATTGTTGTGCTAATTTGTTGAAACTAGATCATGTCCTTGGAATTTGGTGTACATGTCGTTATTTCTATGATTTTTATTTTCGAATTTCAGTGGTTTTTTCATGAACATTTTCTCTCATAGTTATAAGACGTTATTAATGAAGGCTCGAGTAGGAGATTGGTTGGGTCAACCAGTATCAGATCTAAACTCTAAATTAATAAATCATCAAAATATAAGTGCCCACCATAGAGGTGAACACTGTGCACGATACTCACATGTTAATTTTTTTTTAAATGTAAAAATATAATATATCAAAATAAAAAAATTAGGAAGCTGGCAAGTTATATATACATTATACAAAATCAAAAGTAAACATGCTTCTATTCATAAAAAATATAGAAAAATAGCTATCTAGAAAAAAAACTAAAAGAACCATATTGGTTAGCTAAGAAATCTAGGATTCAGTAGATATTAAAAATAACCAACAAAAAACAACATCAACAAAAAAACATTTAATAGCTGACGTAATTTATAGTTAAAACATAAAAAAATTACCAACGATTATTGAAATATATAAGGGCTATTAATAAAAGACCTGCAACTTCAACAACAATAACAAAATAAACTTAGCCAACATCTAGTTAGGAGTGATTTGCAACATGAAAATAAAATATTACATAAAATAAGATTTGAAATCTTCTTAAAACCCTATAACAAATCAAACTTAAACGTTCTCATTCTTATTTTAAATTCAAATTCAAGAATGTTTCTCCAATCTTGAAACTGGTATTGAATCAAGATTTCCTAATTGTATCATAACAAGCCACCAAATGTAGTTGTTAGCGGTCATGATGTGCATTTTCAAATCTTGCACGCTCCGTTCGTAGATCATGTCAACAGCAATAATTTTTTAAAGAAGATATGCCTTGGTTGAAGAATCAACTTTCGGACAAAAATACGCTTGAAGCACTCTTCTCTCTTTAATCTTGTCTCCCATGTATGGTTCCTTGAAAAAAAGATGATAGAAATCAGCTATTTCGTGAGCGAGGTGATGGACATCACCTCTTTTTAAAGGTGATAATTAATGGTATGTTTGAAACCATGTTTGGATTTTGGGCAATGTTGGGGATATGAGTGGACTGTATTTTTTTAATAATTAAGATAATATTATTTTGATTACTTTTTTAAAAAATTAACGGATTAAAGGACTGGTTGTATTAATCAAGTCAATAGATTAATCTAAAATTTTTAATGAATTTGCCATTTTTTTTATTGTTTCTTTTAATTTTGTCTTCCAATCCAAACTGTTTTATATCCCAGGCCTACCGTTGAACCAATTCAAATTTCACAACTATGATTCCAACATGTGTTTTCTAGGTTGTGGAAGTTGGGTTTTTCTTTCTTTATTTTTCTTCAAATCAGTCTTATTTTCACTGAGAATTTTTCTCTTACATTGATGTTTGTTTTCGTCAGTGCCGCATCATCCAGACATTTTCAATTTCACCTCGCTTTTAAGTGTTATTTCCATAAACAGTGTATATATAGCCCCCAATGTTTTTTTGGCCCCCATTAGTCCGTTTATATTTGCAACCTTATATTCTTTCATTACATATCGACCCTGCCTCTGTTTGTAACTTTTATTTTAGTCCTTTAGGTCATCTTCTTAAATGGCTGTTTTGCTTGTACTTTCCCCCTCGCATGATTCACAAAAACCTGACACTTTCGCTGCATGGTGTCTTGGCATGCATCAGCACATTGTAAAACTTTGGAATGCAGTATATACTACTTGAAGAAGATTGGATGCTGCTATTATCTGCATCGATCCCCTACCGGGCTTTCCCGGATTGAGGTAGAATTAGAAATTTTCCTGGAGAAATGAAATTAATGTCACAGCATCATGTCATTTCTTGGTGAGATGACCAATTGATCATGCTTGATGCAAGCAGAAGGTCAACTCCTCTATATTTAAAAACTCTCTAATGATTAAATGATCAGTATCATTTGAGAAAAAAGAATACCCTAAAAATAGATATGACATTTATAATGGAGAAAAATTGTGAAGGATTTTCCCCACTCTTTTATAGCTCCTAGGCACTTTTTATCGAAGAGAAAGATTTTGAAGTATCAGTAAAATATCTATAACTTACAAAAATATCCATTATTTATTAAAATAAAAATAAAACCTAAAATTTTTTGAAGTTAGACTCTATACTTAGTTGGACCCAAAAATAAGTGGATCTGATAGTTTACGAGACTCACTTATAAATTATTACCCTATTTTTTTGTGGCCATTCTTGGGTGGACTTAAAAAAAAAAACAATAAATGCTGATTGCTGTTTTTTGTATGTGGTTCGGGTTTCCTGTACTGGATCGGCATGTGAAACAAAGAGTAGATAGGATGATGAAAGCTGGATTACTTGGTGAAGTCTTTGAGATTTACAATTATAATTATGAGGATTAATATACTCGAGGATCGGTGCCCGGGAGTTTTATAATTTCCTGAGAGTTTACAAGTCAGATTTAAAAGGACATGACTCTACTGGATCTCTCTCTGTGTCGTCGAAAAACAAGGATGTGACACTGTAGATAGATAACGTGAGGGAAATCCTCAATTCCTCTGATGATAAGCAACTTAAAATTCTGTTGTCAGAAGCTATTGACAAGTAAAATTCATCTTATTATACTAACATATTTTTTTTTTCAAAATATAAAATAGGGGTCAAATTTGGATTATAGCAATATATAAAAAATATAAATTAATACTATAAATTATTTTAACAATAATAACAATTTGTTAAAATATAAACCAATGATTACTGCCACTTTACCTTCAAGCCTATAAATTCCAAATGATAGGATGAGGACAAGATATGACCGGTCGTGTTCAAATCCATATAATAATTAAGAACTAAAATAAAAAATCTAGAGGAGATAAACATTGCATTTATTTTATAGCAATTTGGTTTAACTAATTCCACGCTAGCTAGTTAGATAAAACTAATATTATTTTCTTGCTAATATAGCAAAACACTTTTAATGTTAATCGGATCACTTAGATAGTGTCTGGTTGCTATCTTTAAACAAAAAAAAACAAAGATAGTGAAGTAAAAAATATATTTGGTTGGAGAGACAAAGACAAAGATATAAAAATAAATCTATTTCTTAGATAATTTTGGAGTGATATTCCTAAAATATCATTATAAAAAACTCTTAATTTTAAAATTATTCAATTAAGACATGAAAAAATAAAAATAATTATTATCATGATTTTAAAACCCAACTTAAATGTCAATTTAGGAAAAAGTCCAAGTCACTTATCAAATCCGATGTCACAGGCATATAAGGAAAAGTTGTAAAAGAATTATTTTTTTCTCTTCTAATTCTTGTGATTGTCATGACTCTTTCCTTATCAAATCAAGAATTTTAGTTTTTGATTTTGAGTGAATGAGTTCAGGAAAGGTGGAAAGAGCAATTAAGTAATTTTGTTTTATGTTACTTTTAATTATAGTTTATTTATGGAATAATTAAAGAAGATATTAGGATTTATAAGGATTTGAAGTTTATGTTGTTAAGATTGATTCATGATTATTATAAGTTTAAGGTTAAGTGATTGATTTTGGGTTTATTGTTAGAAATAAAAATTTATGAATTGATTTATTATTGGTTAAGAAATTTGTTTCAACTTTGCTAGAAAATCTAAATAGAATTGTATTGAGGTTGAAGATGATAAAATTTTATTTTAATCTTTGATATATGAAAATTATAGTTTAGTTCCTAAACTTTGAAAAATTATAATTTGACTCCTAAATATATTTTGGAATTTTGACCAGTATTATTATGAGGTTAAGGATGATAAATCTTAGTTTGATAATTGAATTGGAATATCTTCATCTTGGTCTCTCAATTTTAGGGATTTACATTTTAGTTTCTAGACTTAAAAAAATAAATCTAGGTCCCTGGTTCGCTTCTGAACATAATTGAGGATGTTTTATGGATAAAATTTCAGTATGATTATATATTTATAGTTTAGTCCTTTAATTTTGGTAAAATTATATTTTTGTCCTTATTTTTTTAAAATTATTGCTTTAGTCCTTAAACTTAGAAGGCTAAACCTGGTTTTCTTTCATGAATTGGAATCTTTTATTTGTGTTTTTTTTTAGTATATTATGTATATTTGTTGTTGGTTCTCCTAACAATCCTGAATAGAATTTTTAGGTCTTTTATTTGATATTCTTTTTAGTTTTAAATTTTTAATGTGAGTGAAATAATATTTAATATGCATGTAATATAAATTAATATGTATGTCAATTATATGATGAGTATAACTAGTTAATTTCTTGAATATTTATATATGTTCTTTTATTTTCTGAATACTCATCTATTCTTGAATTTGCACTTAAATTCTATTATATATATATATATATATATATATATATATATATTGCTTTTTATAATTATGTAAATATCTATTATACCCTTGATATAGAACTTATTAATAACTTCATGCTAATAAAAAATAGTTTGTGTATATACATATAGTATTTTATATACCTAGTTAGTAAGAGAGACATCACTTTTTGATAACTGATCCTTCCACAATAGTTATTTATGGGTGTCATTTGATCACATTTGACTTGTATTTATCTTTAATATTCAGATTGGAAAACATAAACAATAACAACAACAACAACAACAACAAGTCTTTTAAAAGTAGCCTATAACATATTAACATTTCATTTGTGCAAACCAGACTACAATAGCTATACTTTCATAAGTAACAAAAAGGCCACTTTACATAGCTATACTTTCAGAAGTAACTAAAAGGCCACTTTACATGTATAATTGCTGGAATGTAAAGATAGGAGACAACAAAAACCCATATTTTTATTTTAAATAAGTTTATTGCAGAGAAACAAAATCTAAACTCCAATAGTTTTCGCACGTGTAAGGTTACTAACACTACATATAAGACTTAATCTTCAAAGAAGAAATATGCATATAGGTTTCTAATTAATTATACCTGCTATCTTTGATGTGAGATTTTTCCTTGAAAGTTGGAGTCCTTTAATATACTTGTTATTATGATATCTGGTCCTTTAAGACCATGGGATTGTCGGCACCTTGGAAGCACAGATGCATCAAAGATGAAATTAAGAATGGGACAGATGG